TGTACTTCTATTGGTCGATATAGTTGTCGTCATGTGGGTAATATCCAGTAGTTCTATTGTGAGATGTTGGATGGTAGTCTCTATTTGCTCCGTGGGCCTGCGGTGCTCTGCTCGATAGTTATTTTCGTCACAGCGTTGTTCTTGTCGTAGCGACATAGTGTTGTCTTTGCTGTGCGCTGCTCGATGGTTGTGGTTGTTGTTGTTGTGTTGTTGTTTGTTGGTGGTGGTAGTGATGTTGCTGCTGGTGTTGTTGTTGATGTTGTTGCTGCTGCTGCTGCTGTTGTTGTTGTTGTGTTGTTGGTGGTGGTGGTGGTGGTGGTGGTTGTTGTTGTTGTTGTTGTTGTTGTTGTTGTTGTTGTTGTTGTTGCTGCTGCTGTTGTTGTTGTTGAGGGTTAATTTTTCGCCGTCTTCGACAGCAGGGATCAGCCACATTGCACACGACCACAGCCATTGCGTTGGGTGCGGTGCACAAAAGGCGGGGTGACGCGGGTGTTATATTGAAGGTGCCGTGTTTGAAAGGGGTGGTTGATTTCCGTTGTCCGAGACAGCTGGATGAGATGGGGAGGGGGGCAAGAACGGCTGCAATGACACCTCTTCCACATCAGCAAAGCCGCTCCCAGGAAGCCATGAGCGGCACCTGTGGCAGTTGCAGCAGCAAGCAGAAAATGTTGTTGCTCGGCACCCATCGCCATACAACGAACGCATCCGCCCCCACAAATTTCACCGGCACCGACACCGGCACCAGTAGGAACAGACGCTCAGAACAGAGGCGGTCGGAGGCGACATCGCCAACAGCGCAGACGCAGCGTACGACGCACGTTCACGTCGCCCACCGATTTGAACAGCGTGAGTGAGTGGGAGTATGTGTGTGTGTGTGTGTGTGTGAGTTTTCGTGTGTGCACGTTTGTCTGTGTTGATGTGTGTTCGTGCGCTTGCTCCTTTGTCATATCATCACCAAGGGTGTCACACAACGCGCATCACACGCACACACGCACCTTGCTTGAGAAGTACTGTCGATGAAGGGTAAAGGGAAAGCACTTATCATCCCCGTCGTTGCCAAGCGTGCACTGCCTTGCGTTCGCGCAGGGCGTGGCGTCCATTCTTGCGGAAGAGTTGCCACGACCTGGATGCAGCGAGTGTGTTCGGGTGTGTCTGCGTTTGTGCGTGTTTGAAATTGTGTCCGTTGATGCGTGCTTAGAGCGCTCATACACTCTCGTGTACGCGTGTCTTGACCCCGCCGGCTTGTGTATACTCCCAGTCCTTTTCCTCCTTTCCTCTTTTTCCTCCTTTTCCTCCTTTTCCTCCTTTTCCTCCTCTTTCTTCTTCTACTGCTGCTTGTGCTGTCTGTGTGTAATACAGGCTGTAACATAACACACGCAGCGAGAGAAGGCGCAGGTGCGCAAGCAAGGGGGGAAGCGCGGCACCAATGCTAACCACACGTGTCCATGTGGTTCGTAAAGGTGCGTGCGTTGGCAAATGTCTTTCGACATTTTTCACAAACAAGGGGCGGTGGTGGCCCCTGTTTGTGTTTAAGCTGGATGTGTGAGTCTTACATCAGCATGAACAGACGTACAACACAGACCCAAAGGCACGGCACACGCACACGCGTGCAAACACACGTGCGGAGAAACAGGCATCATCGGCTTACCTGAAGGGCAGCGTGGAGGTCATTCAAGGCCTCGGGAAGCCGGCGTGGGTCGTCTGCCAAGGTGTCGAAGACGGACACGCCTGTGCCGAAGGCACATTGTGCCCGTCGGGTCGCGAGCGCTGGCACAACTCTCGTCACCTTTGTGCATACACGTGTGTGTGTGTGAGAGTTGGTGTGCGGTTTGGCCATGTAGCAGAGTGGAGGTACGCAAGGGTTAGCAGGGGAACTCACTGGTTCGTGGGTCTGCTGTTGCTGCTGCTGCTGCCGCTGCTGCCGGGTCTGCTGTTGCTGCCGCTGCTGCTGCTGCTGTGGCTGCTGCTGCTGTTGCTGCTGCTGTTGTTGTTGTTGCTGCTGCTGCTGCTGCTGCTGCTGCTGCTGCTGCTGCTGCTGGTGCTGCCGGGGCTGCTGCGGGTGTATCTTCTTCAGGTGATTCTTGAGCGTGTCCCCGCGGGAAAACCTCTGCGGGCAGAGGTGGCACTTGTACTGTCGTGTAAGGTGGGACTTGCGGTGCCGTGCCAGCTGTGCCTTCGTCTTGAATGCCTTGCCGCAGCCTTGGCAATCATTGCACTTGGTGGGTGAGTGTTGTGGAAGATATGAAGATGTAGAAGAAGAAAGCAGGTGACTGTGAACACAACTAGGCCAGCGTACCTGGAAAGTTGCACTCGAAGGGTCGCTCGTCTCTATGGCTGGTGAGGTGACGCTGCAGTGCCTGTTTTCCTCCTATTGAGGATAGTTTCTTCCCACATATCGGGCATACAGGCATGACCGGCGTGTGTGTACGTGCGTGTGTGTGTGTGTGTGTCGGATGCGATAACCAAGGCTTCAAGGTGTGAGCTAAAATGACAGAGACATTTGTACGTTTTTGAAGCAGACAGAATTTTGTTTGTGGACATTACTCTGTTCGAAAGCTGTTTGAAGGACGCGTGCTTGGATTAAAGTCTACCGGCAAAATGTTGTCGATGTTGGCGAGAGACATTGGCGCCCCTGTGTCACTTTGTGGTTTATTCATGTTCGACTTACTTTCTTGTTTCGTTCACTTCTTCCACAAAATTTCCTCTTGTGTTCACCCACCAATACAATTGTTGACATCACTGTTCCAGTGTCAACGCTTGCTGAGTCAGCAAATTCTGCTGTAAACGTTTCTGTGCACGTGCGCCCAGAAACGGGCGTTTCTGGTTGTTTTGCCACGTGGCACTTCTCTCTCTCTCCTCCAGTTTTCTGTCTATGTGTGAGAGTGTCTCTCAGTTCATGTTCAATCATCCTACATCCTTGTTTGCTTCACAACTCAAGTAAACACACACAACTCTCTCTTGCCAAGCCAATTCTCCCACACAACACACAGCACACACAGCACACACAAGTGTTGCAAGTTCATGGTGGTGGTGCTGTTGTTGGAGACTTGTGTGTGTGTGTGTGCAGAGTGTGCTGTGTGTTGTGTGGGAGATTGTCTTGGCAAGAGGAAGTTGTGTGTGTTTACTTGAGTTGTGAAGCAAACAAGGATGTAGGATGAATGAACACTCCAACAGAAAGAAACAGAGCAGAAGACAAGAATTGTCGACAACGCAAAGTGGTGACGTGGCAGTGTTTGTTGAGAGTTGTGTGGTTATGTGGTGTGTTATGCAAGAGCATGTAACATCGAGCAACCACACAAGCTAAACACTGCACGTGCAACAGGTTGGAGGGAAATCACGTGAACATTCCAGAACACAAGAGAGGTGAGTGCAAATTTGTGGTGTCGTGAAGAAGGGAGGTCAATGATGACTCAGCAGACAGGACTGGCCTGTCAACAACGATGCCAGGATGCGTATGGGATCAGCCGGTCCTTGTTTCATGGGTACGAGCACTGCATTGTGATAGATCTTGAGGAATGGTTGGCACCGTTGATTATGTTTCCTTGAAGCGAAGCCGAGGTGAGCGATGAGTGCGGGATGTGGTCGGACATGGACCCGCAATTCAAAGATTGCGTGGGGGCGGCTGACGGCACCCTGATCCACTTCAATTTCCGTTTGACCAGTCTTGACCTGGCTTGAATGTTGTGCGTCATTTGTACCCCGATGGGATGCGCTTGCCGACCTTCGTTCGTCCACTCACTCGAATATGCTGAGCGCGCGCGACGACCTGCGCGGCTATCAACACGCGTCTCCACACCTCACGCTGCACGTCTGTCTGTGGCTCACCCCACCTGCCAGGGCCCCGGAGAATTGCCTCACGATTCTTGCCCAAGCTCACCGGCCGAAGTATTGGAGAAAAGGCACTTTTCATGGAGAAAAGGGACCCGACTTCGCGCTCCGTCAAATCTGTCCTTCACTCGCGGTGTGTAATGTCGTACGGATTGGCGTATGAAGTGGCAAGCACACACACACACACACACACCATGTTATCACGACAAGACACAATGGCGAGGAGCGAGGACCACGATTGACAACACCATGCCATGCTGGAAGCTTGTTTTTGAAGCGCTTGCGCGTGAACACTCGACATGACGTCACGCAATCATGTGACATTACACACCACAAGTGTGAGAAGTCATACGCTAGACCGCACGACATTACACGCGCGCAATTTGCAACGAGTGAAGGACAGATTTGACGGAGCGCGAAGTCGGGTCCCTTTTCTCCATGAAAAGTTCCTTTTTCTCCAATACTTCTCACCGGCCGCCCCGGCATCGACATCGCAGCCAGCAAACATGCACCGCGTGCGGAACCTCCTCCTCCTCCTCGGTGAAGTTGACATCCCCGGCGCCAAAGCCGTTAAATGTGCATCAAACCACCGTGAAAGCGTCCCGTGCCAGGCAACGAACGTGACAACATGACGTGACCAAATTAAAGCGTGTTTGCTTGCAGGCAACTTTTTTTATGTGTGGAACATTAATTCCTTCGTTTTGCTTTCGTGTGCTGGCTCTGCCAACTGCGTTCTGTGGGTTTCTCTACCCATGTCTTCCTACCTGCGGGCCTTTGCTGGAAGGATCAACACCCAGCGCTTGCAGGTCTTGAGTGAGTGCCCGAATTGGGGTGTTCTGGAGGCGATTGATGAGACGCAAGAGCCGCGTGTTGGCGAAGGCGTGCCGGACTTCGTGTCCGGGCACGCCGACGCCAACTTGCGTACAGCTCAGAACACGCTCGCAGGTGTACGCGTGAACGTGTTACTCGAGGCGGTGGACCCAACGCTCCGGCACAGCATCCATTTCGCACGCGACAACGTGCAATCCCTGCCACCCGACAGCGTGCAGCGGTTCAGGGCGCTGAGGGACGCACCTTCGACCCTGTGGCTGTCGACACATAAGGCTGTGGGAGATTTCGCACGCCAACACGACCCTGACGCACAGGTAAGTGGCGTGGGTGTGTTGGGGGGGGGGGGGTGCTTGGTGTGTGATTTGATGGCATGAGCTTTTGATTGGTTTTGGGCAACAGTGACGAAACATGCACCCATGATGATTGATGGCCTGATGGTGCTGTGTGTGTGTGTGTGTGTGTGTGTGTGTGTGTGTGTGTGTGTGTGTGTGTGTGTGTGTGTGTGTGTGTGTGTGTGTGTGTGTGTGTGTGTGATATGACTTGATTTCGTGCGCCTTCGTCTGCAGGTATTCTACGTCGAGTGGGCCATTAGTCAAGACGACCTGCCAATACGCGCGGACCGCCTTCACGTTGGTCATGCTTTGCCAGACACCCTCATCTCCTATGCATCTCCTTCTCAATGCTCAAGGTACACACAGGCAGGTGTGTGTGTGTGTGTGTATGTGTGTGTGTGTGTGTGTGTGTGTGGTGACACAGCTCTTCGACACACATTGTGGCGCTGTCGATGTCCGTGTGCGTGAAAATGCGAGAGCCTGGCGTGCTCACGATCGCACATAGGCACGCATACTCAGTTGTGTACACCTTCTTGCACACGTACACACACACACACACACACACACACATGTATAAATGGTAGGAGTGGCATTGCCACAGAGGATGAGGTGGAAGAACATCATCTTCGGCCCGGGTTCGTCATCCTTGGCGTTGACCCGATTATTGACCGCACGGCGTACCCAACGCTTTACAGCCACATCACCACCGCAGTGGAAACCGTCGCTACAATGGCCATCGTTTCCTCGATTAAGCATCATGCCATGTTCATGTACGGCGACCTGAGCACTCAGATTGGTACGCACAATGCTCGCTCTGCGTTTGCTGTTCGTTTGCGCGGCATGGGGCGTGGCACTTACAGTGTGTGCTATCGTGTGCGTGCCGCAGGAGACGGTGCCGCCGATTACGAACGACTGGTTGCGCATCGACGGGAGAAGTGCGGTCCGGACGCATTTCGTGTGTCTGGGCTCAAGGGCGCGGCGACACGTGCAAGCATGCCATGTACGGGTGGCGGTGTGTAGTGTGTGTGTGTATGTGTGTGTGTATGTGTGTGTGTGTGTGTGCGTGCGTGCGTGCGTGTGTGTGTGTGTGCGTGTGCGTGCGTGCGTGTGTGCGTGTGTCGTGTGTCGTGTGTGTAGTGTGTGTGTGTGTGTGTGGTGTGTGAGAGTGTGTGCATGCGTGTGTAGTGTGTGTGTGTGTGTGTAGTGTGTGTGTGTGTGTGGTGTGTGCATGCGTGTGTAGTGTGTGTGTGAAGTGTGTGTAGTGTGTGTGTGAAGTGTGTGTAGTGTGTGTGTGTGAAGTGTGTAGTGTGTGTGTGTGTAGTGTGTGAGAGTGTGTGCATGCGTGTGCGCGCGTGCGTGTGTGTAGTGTGTGTGTGCGCGCGTGCGTGTGTGTAGTGTGTGTGTGCGCGCGTGTAGTGTGTAGTGTGTCGTGTGTAGTGTGCCCAAACACGTGTTAGTGTTGTTCTGCATGCTTGCTTGCGTGATGTGATCACGCGCACGTTTGGTTCCATTCTGCACAAACGCTAGCACAAACGCACACACTCATTCACACAAGCGAGGGCACATGACCACACTCTGATTCACTCACTCACTGTCATCCAAACACACACGCATATGCATGCACAGCCCGATATGCGATTGGGAAGACGAATGCCTTGACCGGCCTTTTACGCTTTGAGGACTTGTCAGAGGATCAACAAGCAGCAGTAGAGGTAGGTGTGCATCAGTAGCTGCACACGGGCACGGATGGACACACAGGCACACAGACACACACAGACACACACACACACACACACACACACAGACACACACACACACAGACACACACACACACACACACAAACACACAGGCACACACACACACACAAACACACAAGCACACACACAGACACACAGACAGACAGACAGACAGACAGACATGCACGCACACACACACACATACACACACATAGACACACATAGACACACACACACATAGACACACACACATAGACACACACTCACCCACATACACACTTGTGCCAGGGACTGCGGCTTGAGTGTACAGACCCTGAGTGCACAGCATCGACCGATATCAGGGACGTGAGGGTGTTCTCACACCTGCACCCGGCCAGTCCACCAGATTGGCACCCGGTGATTGTCACAGGGATACACTCGCGGCTGCTCTGCACGGGGGCGTCACACTGCAACGGTGCGTTGATGACGGCCGTGCGTGTGTGTGTGCGTGTGTGTGTGCGTGTGTGTGTGCGTGTGTGTGTGCGTGTGTGTGTGTGCGTGTGTGTGTCTTGTGTGTCTTGTGTGTGCGTGTGTATGTGCGTGCGCCATCAAGTGCGTGCTTGAGCGAGCAAGTGTCCGAGCGAGCGAGTGCCCACAATCACCAGTACGTGACTACATCTCATTTCCGACCTTACAGGCTCGCTGCGGGTGGAGCCAGACTATGCCCAGCAGAAGGGGGTGCGCAGCCTATCCATCGAAACGGTGCGGCGCGAGTGGACTGCCCAATTCTCGTGCGATGTCGTCGCTGGGGTTGAAAGGCTTCGCTTCTCGCAGCTGACTCCCGCGCAGCAGGAGCTGGCCAGGGCAATCCCGTGGACGTGCTCGAAGCAGGTGTGGGCGGTGTGAGGGGTGTGTACTTGCGGTGTGAGGGGTGTGTACTTGCGGTGTGAGGGGTGTGTACTTGCGGTGATGCACTTGCGGTGATGCACTTGCGGTGATGTGATTGCGTTGCTGGTGCGCGCACGTGTATCCGTTGTTTACGCGCTACGCTGTACGCTGTGCGCTGTATCACGCTGCAGGGTGCTGGGTGTCACGGGCGCAACCTGACATCGGAACACCGGCTGGTGCTTGTGCGCTTCAGCGACGGAGAGGGCAACCGGGAGAGCTTCCTGCTGTGCGAGGGCCACGATGGCGCGTGCAGGGGTATTGCGACACCTGTGCTCCGTGCGCAGATGGGGCTGCGCACCCTTGCCATCCGGTCGCCGACGTACCAGGACTGGTGCAACCAGCCGCTCTCGGACAAGGTGGTTGTTGTTGTCACACGGTTCAGCGAGATGAGCAGCGAGGACCAGGCCCGCCTGCGGCAAGTGGAGTTCACCTGCTCGGTAAGCATTGTGTGATGTGTGCGTCGTGTGTGTCGTGTGTGTATGTGTGTTTTGTGATGGTGTCGTGTGTGTGCGCACGTGTGTGCTGTGTGTTCGTCATAGCTTGTGTGTGTGTGTGTGTGAGTTTGTGTGTGTTGTGCATGTACACGTGTGTGGGTGTGTATGCAAGCCTGTGGTTGGCGCACAGCTCTGGCTGCTCCTATCCCCGTTTTCTCCTCGCCTTCGCATGCTGACGCACACACACACACACACATACACGCGCACACGCGCACACACACACACACACACACACACACACACACACACACACACACACACACACAACAACAACAACAACAACACACACACACACACACACACACACACACTACTATATGGGCGGATTCGTTACCAGGCGTTGAACATCACTGGGCGCATTTGAATATGCCCATCACCTGCCGATACGCCCACAACTCACGCGTCTTGCTAGAGGTGTCTCTAGTATGCAAACGTGGGATCCCCTACGTGCACCGAGGTTGTTTCGGTCGGGTAATACCTTGACAGCGAACGTCGCTAAAGTTGTTCTAGGTAGAACGGCGAAGCGTAGTCAGAGCTTATCTGGCTGGCCATCACGGAGAATAGTTAGGACATAGCTATACTTGTCACCTCCGGAGCAATAGTAG